CTTCTAAGATCTCCAATGCATACTTTATCTAGTAATAAAGATGAATTTTTTTGATTTGTCACAATCAATTTGAGTTAAAATGTCTACTTTTCAGAGTATTCAATTTTTGAAAGCTGCAGACACAAGCAATTTTTGAATAGGTCAAAATATCTTTAGTTTTCAGACTGTTACTTTAAACTAAAGATATTTTGACACAATTATGATACTAATAGATTACTTTACAGCCAATAAGTCTATATTATAGAAGCATATCTATGGACATAGAAAGAATTTAATAATATACTAATAAGAGAAAATTTCCTTAAAACATACATTCACTGAATGCTGTCTTCGTCTGTTAGGGCCGAGATAAAAAATGACTATAGAATGAGTGGCTTATGAACAACAAAAATCTGTTTCTCCCAGTTCTGGAGGTTGAGAAGTCCAAGATCAAGACATGAGCAAATCTGGTGTCTAGTGAGGGTTCACTTACTGGTTCATGGACAACCATCTTTTCACTGTGTCCTCACATGTGAAAGGGGCATACAAACTCTCTTAGGCCTCCTTTAGACAAACACTAATCTTAACCCAATCATTTCCCAAAACCCTCACCTACCAATATCATCACCGTGGGATTTAGGATCACAACATATGAATTTTGGATGGGATTTAAACATTAACACAATATAAATACTCTGGTGTATATTTTTATAAAGAGAAACATAGAGGCACATACACACAAACATGAAACCAAATATCTGTAAAGATAGGCATCACATTTATAACAGTGGTTAATTTTAGGTAGTGAAATTTGAACAATGAGTTTTATTTCTCTGTATGCTTTGTGAATTTTCAAGTATTTACTTCTAATTGTAAAATATGTTATTTATATAGGTATATGTGTGTATGTGTGTGTGTATAATATTCTTTTTCCACAAAGAATTTTTTCTGTGCAATCTACTCCTCTATGAGTAGATACTTAAAGTTAACAACCTCATTTTTATTATATTATAGGCTGAGTTTCTGCTGAAGTATGAACCCTCATTCTTTAGTTATTGTTAACATAAAGCATTGACTTTAAGTTTACCACAGACATCAAAGCGAAAGGGTAAGGACCTTATTCTGCAATTAAGCTTTTCTAACACAATAAAATTGTCACGGATAAAGCAGTTTGCCTTTTAAATGTTTAAAGATGACTTTAACATCACCCAAGCAAAAGCATAAAGCATTGTTCAGAGAGAAGCCTTACACTCTAATGGATGAGATAAAAATTTTACTGTTTGTTTACTTCTTCAAGGAAAACAAAATACCACAGAGAAAATGTATTAGGCAATTTAACAATTGACAATTGGAAAATTAGGCAATTTAACAGTGTGATTCACTAACTACTCTTTCTGGAAAAGAATAATTTATCCTACCATATTTTGTAAAATACTGAGAACTACGTTAAGTATCAAGGTTGGTGGTAATGATGAGTATAGGTAAGTCATCATTATGTCAATTCAATCCACTTCAGCAAATACTTACAATTAACTGTTTTGTTTTGCTAGGCTGTAAGCCTAGTTGTGTATAGTGCCAGCTCTAGAAACAAAATTCCCACACAAAATCTGGATTCCAGTACTTCATAACTTTGTGACGTTGCACAGGTTACAAAATCTCTTTCTGCCTTAATTTCCTCAGGTGTAAAATGGGAATTAGAACTACCTTATAGGGTTAGGTAAGTTAGAAGCATAAAAGCCCAAACACATTTTACCAGGCAAAGTTAGAAAATGTCACTTTCTCAAATGTAAAAAGTATATCTTCAGCATCTCCCCATCTGAAAAGGTGAGATACTCTATAGATGAACTTAGAGAGTATCTTAACATAGTCTCAAATTGATTTTTTAAAAAAATTCCTGCAATATTTAATCAAGAAAGCCATGGTTCTAGGGTGTTTATGAATTATATTGTTTAAATAACTGGTGTTATAATTCTCTCCTGTATTTTGAGGCTTCTCTGCCTAACCTCAACTGTCTATGCCTCTGAGTTGCAGGAATGCCAACAGCCCTCTCATGGGGTATACATGCAGTACGGGGCAGGCAGGTGGTATATATAACTTTCCAATTTCTGCCATGCCAATTTGACCTTCATCCTCAACAAATAGCAGTTGTTCAGTGTTTGACTACTGCTTATCTCTGTACCTCATTATCTCCGTCTAATTCTAGCATTTCCTCTGCTAGGTCTGCCCAGAGTGCAGAACATCAAGTCTGCTACATCCAGGAAATGAGCTGCCAATCTCACTTTCTTTAATGTACCTCAATCTCTTCTATTGATTCTTTTGGAGCTATTTCCTATTTGGTTTTGCAGGAGAGGAAAAGGAAGTCAAAACATCTTTTCTCAGGTAGAAGTTTAGGTTTCCTTGAATTAATTTAATTTTTTAGGGCTTGGGAGAGGAGTTGAGGACTCAGGAAAAGTCTGGGAGTAGCAAAGCTGACTTGGCTACTTTTTAGTAAGCCCTGGACAATGTTTTGAACTCTACTGCTCTCAGCTTTCATTTGAAGGAGCCTATGGTAGGCAGAATAACGAGAATAATGGCCTTCCAATGATATCCATTCCTGGAACCTATGAATATGTTAAGTCACATGGCAAAGGAAAACTAAGGTAGCAAATGATGTTAAGAGTACTAGTTAGCTGACCTTTCTATCTTCTAAATCTCACACAGGGCATTTAATAGGCAGGACATTATTTATATTTAGAATTCTAGTGGCAGGGAAATGGAGTACTAAGTTTCCAGGCCATATAGGACAAGTAGATCCCTGAGAAAGGGGTAAAAATAAATAAATAAATAAATATTGGGTGCCAATTAATCATATTTGACACAAGGTTTCATTTTAAATACTTAATGTTTTTCCCCAAGTTATTTCCATCTTTCTTAAATGTTATGCAAATGTAAATGATATCCTATGAAGTCACAGTCTTTGCTAAATGTACAAAAAATTAATCAGTTAATCTAACACTCAAAAGTCATGAAACTCTCTGTTAACTCAAATCTAGGCATTTACCATTAAAATAATAAGTGATTCTCATATTATTAATTCTTTTTTTCTCATGTTATTAATTCTAAAGCACAAAACTCCTTCTAAGTTACTGAACTGTCTCTACACCAACATGAAAACTATATTTCTTTATGTTTGCTAAGTGATTTCATTTCAGAAAAATAATTTTGCTTCAATTAATTATAGAATAATGCAAAAATAGGAAATATGACACTATATATGTATATATTCATTAATATTCCTATATCTAGTTACAAGATTCTTTCCCACCTGATTTAGCTTCTACAGGATCTTACATTTAAACTTCAAGATTATGTAAAAGCTGATATGGGGATGGATTGTCTCAGACTTATGGAGACAAAGAGACTTCCCAGGCTGGCAAAGCTTTTAGGACTCAGTAACCTAATTCCAAAATTGATATGGAAACGTGAAGGCCCCATAATAACTAAGACAATTTTGACACAGAAGAATAAGGTGGGATTAATCACACAATCAATATTAAGTCTTACTAAATAGTTACAGTAATCAAGATAGTGTGATATTGGTTGAGGAATACACAAATAGATTAATGGAACAGAATAAAGAACCCAGATAGACACACAAAAATATGCTCAACTGATTTTTGAAAAAGAGATAAAAAGAAGTTAATGAAAGAAAGAGACAATTTTCAACAAATGTTGAGAATGTGCTAAGCAATTGATCATAAATTAGCAAAATAATGAAACCCAATCCAAACCTAACACCTCATACACAAATGGATCATAGACTTAAATGTAAAACATAAAACTATAAAACTTTTAAGAAAAAAAGTGTAGAAAGTTTGGGGATCTAGAGCAAGAAAAAGAGGCCTCAGACTTCACACTGTAATTCATACAAGAAAAATGTAACCCCATCAAAATTGAAAACTTTTATCTGCAAAAGATTCTGTCAAATGGATGGAAACACAAGGTAAAGAGCTGAATAAAATATATACAAATATCATATACAACAAATAATTATATCTAGGAAAAGAGAATTTATATATATATGTGTGTGTATATATATATATATATAAGTTGTGTGTCTACACACACACACACACACACACACACACACACATCATAAAATTCAATAGTAAACAAACAATTCAGAAGAAAATGGGCAAAAGACATTAACAGACATTTCCAAAACGAGGATAGACAGATGGCAAGTAAACATATGAAAGGATATTCAACATTATTATTCATCAGGGAAATAAAATGACAAGGAAATATAACTATATATCAATACTTACCTGAAGGGTTAAAAAAATAGTGACAATACCAAATTGTGGTATAGATGTAGAAAAACTAAATTACTTTTACCTTGAAAGTGGGTATGCAAAATGGCATATTTATTCTAGAAAGCAATTTGCATTTTCCTAAAAATATAACTATGTAGCTAGCAAACCTTTCAGCAATTGCACTCCTGAGTATATATCCCAGAGAAATGAAAACTTATGTTCACAAAGAAACCTATACATGATTTTTTATAAAAGCTTAATTATTAATAGCCAAAATAGAACCAACTCAGATGTCATTCAATGGGTGAATGGTTAAACAAACTATGGTACATCCATATTATGAATACTACTCAGTAATATAAAGGAATAAACTGTTGATACACACAACAACCTGTATGTATTGCTGGAGTATTATATTGAATTTTTTAAAAAAACAGTCTCCAAAAGTTACATACTGCATGGTTCCATTTATATAACATTTTTGAAATGATGAAATTTTAGAAATGGAAGAGATTAATGATTGTCAGGGTCAGGGATAGGGAAGAGTAGAATGTAGATGAATGCAGTTATAAAAGGGAACCAGACACTGCATTTGCTTCTTCAGTTTACTTGTCTGCCACTCCTTCCCCCCCCCCAGCTGAGATCAGAAGCCAGATTCAACTGAACGCTCCCTTCCTTTTGTCTCTGGCAGTATATCTCACATTGGCAAACTGAGAGATTTTCTTCTGGAACACAGGAAAGATTATATTAATGCTTATAGCTATATCATGTCTGATTATGGAAGGATGACAGACACAGAACGAGACCAGATAGGCCAGGATGCTCAGATATTCATGAGGACCTGTTCTGAAGCAATTCAACAACTAAGAACAGAAGCCCACAAGGAGATACATTCCCAGCAAGTGAAGGAGCACAGGACGTCTGTTTTGGATTTCATTGAAGATTACTTAAAAAGAGTGTGTAAACTTTACTCAGAACAAAGAGCCATCCAAGTTAAAAGAGTGGTGGATAAGAAAAGACTATCTAAGCTGGAACCAGAACCAAATACAAAAACAAGAGAATCCACATCTGAGAAGGTGTCACAGAATCCTTCAAAAGACTCTGAGGAAAAACCTACCACTGAAGAATATCCAGAAAAGATTTCAGCCAAAGCACAACCTGAATTGGGAACCTGGGGAGAGGGCAAAGGTGAAGATGAATTATCCCCAGAAGAAATACAAATGTTTGAACAAGAAAATCAGCAGCTAATTGGCGAAATGAACAGCTTGTTTGATGAAGTGAGGCAAATTGAAGGGAAAGTGGTTGAAATTTCCAGGCTCCAAGAGATATTCATGGAAAAGGTTTTGCAACAGGAAGCCGAGATTGACAGCATTCACCAGTTAGTTGTAGGGGCGACTGAGAACATCAAGGAGGGCAATGAAGACATAAGAGAGGCCATTAAAAACAATGCTGGCTTCCGCGTGTGGATCCTCTTCTTCCTTGTGATGTGCTCCTTCTCCTTGCTCTACCTTGACTGGTATGACAGCTAGCGTGGGACATGCTGACAAACTGAGCTCTCCTGTGTCTCCGGCATTGGAGTGTGGTGGTGACCAGATTTTATCACGGAGCCACTTGAGGAAGAGGGGGTTGAGACAGACATATGTACTCCCACAAAAGGGCGCCCAACCAGTGGTGCTGAGCCCATTTAGCAGCTGAAACAGAAAGCGGTGGGCATGGGAGGAAAGTGGTCTGTGTAGCCACCATGAGGCGAGACAGACTGAATGGGGAGAGCAGGTTATCAACAGCACCTAAACGTAAGGCCACCTTGGCAGGGGCTTGCTGCATGGTTAATAACGTCTCTCCACAAATTATTACTTCTTTGTTTCCTTGTGGCTTCTTGTCTGCCTGAGTCAACCAATACACAGACTCATTGTATCACAGAAAATTCACATTTGCCTTGTTAATCTAATAAATACAATTACAGCCAAAAAAAAAAAAAAAGGGAACCATGAGGGATTCTTATTATGAGGAAACAACTCTGTATCTTGCCTGTAATTGAGGATGCACGAACCTATGCATATGATAAAATGTATAGAACTAAATACATACACACTCAAATGAGTAAAAGCAAAACTGAGAAAATCTGAATAAGACAGCTGAATTGTATCAATGTCAATAACTAGGCTGTGGCATTGTATTACAGTTTTGTAAGATATTGTCATTTGTAAAAACTGAGTAAAGGGTACAGGGTATCTCTCTGAATTGTTTTCTAAAACTGCATGTGAATCTATAATTATTTCAATAAACATTTCAATTTAAAAAGTCAAAGAAGCGAATATGAACAAATTACCTTGAATTATTCTCTAGTTATATCACTCATGTATCTATCACTTGTCTTAGCCTGTTTTGTGTTGGTATAAAGGAATATCTGAGACTCGGAAACTTATAAAGAAGAAAGGTTTCTTTGGCTCATGATTCTGCTGACTGGAGGATCAGGCATCTGATGAAAGTCTCAGGCTGCTTCTACTCAGGACAAAAGGTAAAGGGGAATCAGCATGTGCAGAGGTCACATGGCAAGAGAGGAAGCAAGAGAGAGAGGGGAAGAAGGTGTCAGGCTCTTTTTAACAACCAGCTCTCAGGGAATTAATAGAGAACTCACTCACCCCTGAGAGAAGGCATTAATCTACTTATGAGTAATATATACCCATTACCCAAATGCCCCACCTCTAACATTAGGGACTAAATTTCAAAATGAGATTTGGAGGAGACAAACATCCAAACTATAGCATCACTTTAAAAACATATTTTAAAATTAATTTACTAAAATTTTTCACTGGGAACCATCTGAACTGGGTCACTTTCTACATCTCAGTTATCCATTAATGCTGGGATCCAGAAACTAGATGATTTCACAACTGACAGAATAAAAACCCCAACCCAAGACCTCAAAATTACTACAGGCAAAACATTTGAAGCTCACTTCCTTCACTTTTCTCATTGGAGAAAGTAGAAACAAACACATACTTCAGATAATTTTCAAAAGGGACAAAAAACTTATATGATGTTTATTTTAACACTCACACACTCTCACACACATCGCTTGGCCATTCATCAATCTTACTGGTGCCACATCATTACTGTCCCATCACTGGGTTTAGCCAGTGAGCTCATATTTATAAGGCAATCGATTCATTTTTTAAATACTTTACATTTGCCAAGGTCTCTAACATCAAGGAGAGTTGTTCTATTTTCATCAATACTGTTAATAAAAATATATTGTACTACAAATGCAAAAATGGCAAATGACAAATAATGATCTATGGAGGTAATCTATGTGGATACTTGTTGATTAGATAAGATTTAAAATCATTCAGTCTGTGCCTGTGCTATAATTTTGAGCTTCTTACCACTGTAATATAGTTTTTCTAGGTATCTTAAAATTGAGCAATGCTCTCCCTATAACAGTATAATGCTACATTATCAGTACATGGAATTCGTACATCAGAAGCTAGATGTCTTTATTCCCTAAATCTATCACCACACTTAGTAATTAGAAATTATCACAAGTAATTCTTACAAGGAAAAATAATTTGTACTCTGATGTGGGGCAGGAAGGAAATAAAGTAAATTAGGAGTGTGAGGGAGACATCACTTCTGGCTCGTGTTATTGGTTCATTATCTGTAAAGAATGACGCCAGCAGTTACTGAGTGCCTGCTCCATGCTAGGAGCTGTTCACACCTATCATTTTTAATTCTCACCAAATATCCCCACATTATTTAGAATGTTCTCTCCATTATAAGACCAGCAAACTGAGACAGAATTTCAGCAAATTGCATTTTTTTTCCAATATTAATCTATCGGTCTACAAATCCTTAGAATGAGAAATTATCTGTGACCTGATAAGCAAAAATGCCATGACACTTGTGTCTGCTTGGTTATAATTAGAAAAGCTACTGAGCTTTATATACCAATAACGTCACTGCTATCAAAATAGTTTTTATACTTCCAAGCATAAAAGGTTCTTGTTATTCCAAACTAGGCTAAGACACTAGATAATAACGTTTGAAGACTGGGACATTGATTAGAATAGAGAGTCAGACATAAGGTTGCTTTCATTTTGGTTTAATACAGACCAGCAAACAATGCAAAAGAAATGACTAGATAATGATAGAAGTGAATGGAGCTCCCCCATGCTTACCTAGTTACTAGTTACCTAGACGCTAGTCCTACACAAAGTATCCTTCAAATTTCAGGGGCCAATGTAACCTGTGTAGGATAATCACCATATGCCAGTTCAGAGTTACTCAGAGCTCTTGGTTTTCTGCTTTTTATATTAATACAATTAAACGGGAAGGGCCACATCAATATTCAAGAATTTACCTAATATGTTACATTAATTCTTGACTCTGTCTCTTACTGGTTCTTTGGGCAACAGCAGGTCTGGCCATGACGAAACTTAGAGGTGCTTATTTTTCCTCCACTATACAAAGGTGTATTTGAAAGCATACCTCCCCACAATTCTTTGACATTTCTACCCCTGTAACTGCTGCAATAGATAGATTACCATAGAATTGAGGAATGGGTTATAGAGGGCGATGCAATATCTACATTGTTGAAACACTTGTGCTTGGAGCCTTGTGCCATTCTCTAAGTTGCTTGAAACATTTAAGGCTACCATGCTTTGAGGAAGCCAAATCACATCAAGAAGTCATATGTAAGAGCACCAATCATCAATACTAGGCTTCAACTTCTTACAAGCCAGCAGCAGATCTGCAAGAAGTGGACCTTCAGATAATTCCTTCCCCTAATTCCTGAGTTATCCCAACTTTCAGCTCTGCTCAGTCACTACAGAGCAGAGTCTAGCAATTTCCTCTGTGACCTGTCCAAATTGTGGATCCACAAAATTTTTGAGTGTAATAGAAGAGTTGTTTTAAGCCATTGCATTTTAGATGTTGCATTATACAGCAATAGTAATCAGAACAAATGATCAAACACTTTGTATTTATCTATTTTTATTACTTCATATTATGGGAGTACAAATATTGTTAGGGTTACATATCTCGCACCTGCCCTCCCTCCTCCACCCTGCTATGCCAGAGTGAGCTTCTAGCATGTCCAGCCTCTGGGTGGTGCACACAGCACCCACCGTGTAAGTACATATCCCTCCTCTCCTCCCCCCTTCCACCTGCCCACTTCCCGATTACATGTTCAACATCTCTAATCACTAGACAAACACTTAATCAATTTTTACAGTCCTGCTGTGTGGAATGTACAGAACCTAAAGCTCAGTTAAAGGGATTAAATTCTTGTCTTTAAATGTCAATAACTTCATGCCCTATCTAGTTCTCCGGCTTGTACAGAATTTGTGAGTGTGTGTGTGTGTGTGTGTGTGTGTGCACATGAGCATGCACTGTAAATATAATTCAGATATATCTGAGAACTTTGTCTAAAAGAGACCCTAGCAGAAGTGCTATAAAAAAATAAACCAGAAAACTATGTGAATAGTATGTCAATGCTGTTTATGTTACCAAAAATTTGGGGGGCAGGTGTTAGTTAGGGTTAGGTTTTACTAGTTGAGACAGAAATATAAAATTAAGAGTGGCTTATATGCATTAGATTTTATCCAGATAATTTGACAGTCTAAGATACCAGAGTCAGACAACATACTTACATTTGTGCTATGTGTCATTAAAACCACACAGGAAATGCCTTTGTGGTTTTCTAACTGACCCATTTCTAGGGTTTGGCTCTCTTTTACATAATTCAAAATGGCAGCTCTTGCTCCAGGTATTATATCCACATTCTAGTCAGAAAATATCAGGAAAGAGAAGGAGTAGGCCAAGCTACCTATCTAGCATACTTTCTGGAAGTTGAACATTCTACTTCTATTTTATATTGGTCAGAATTAATATGGCCACACTCATCTGCAAGGACACCTGAGAAATTGAGTGTATCTAGGGAAGCAATTTTCCCAGTTAACATTCAGAGATTCTGTAACTAAGGACAAAGTGAAGAATGGATTTTGTGTTACTACTAGTACTCTCCTCCCACAGAGTGGATGCACAGAAAAACATTTGAATTTAATACTTGTTTCAAAGAGAAGGGAGAACAAAAACACGTATAAAAGAAGCACCTACTCTGTATCAGAGACTACATTGTTATCTCAGCTTGTGATGTAGAAATTATTGGCCTCATTTTATAGAACAGAAATATATTCCCCAGGGTTAAATAACATGCCCAAGTTTATATTGCTAATAAGTAGCAGAAACATAGTTCAAATCTAGGAAGGCTTTCTGATCCCAAACCCATTTTCCTCATGAGAGAGGAAAACTGTGGAGAGAGATATGGGCAGTGACCTAGAAGAAAGGGACCAATGTTTTGCTTGGTATCAGCTGCCAAATACTCACAATGATGACTGATGAAGAAGAAGAAGATGATGATGATGGTGATGATGATGATACTAACTTGTGTTGAACACTACCTGCAGGAATTCCTTTTTAAACCTTTCGGGTTTTTTTTTCCTGTACTCATTTCTAAAGAATAGGATTATTATT